CATGTTGTCCAGAACTAATAGAAAAGATATAAAACGTAATGTGATAGTGGTGACAACTACACGGTTAAAAAGTGTTGCCCCAACCCACTTGCAAGCGGCCCTTAGGGTCGCTAGTCTCCTAAACAAATATGCGCGGCACAGTTCTACAGAGTCATTTGAAAACTAGGAGCTTAGATCTTTGATTTAACAACTTTGGACTAAAAGGAAACCTCCTGTAAACGCCAAAAAGATCCTTCAAAGCAGCGTGCTGCACCATGTGCAGCACCGGTCCGAAACGTGTTAACCAATATACGTGTCTTCACATTTTCCGCATACGATAAGGTAGATATTAGCACCTGATGCCTTGCAGTCTCCTTCCGTGCTAAATGGACAGACAACGCAATATAGAGTTGTACAGAGTCGGTAACGACAGTAGAGAACAGCTTCGCTGGCAAGTACTGGCGCCTTCACTTTGGATATGACAACAATTGCTGTTGGTGTCAGTCTCTGTCCCAAAGCCAGGCCTCTGATTTGCCTAACAGCACACCAGCGAAGGATGAAGCATAGAGGCATTCCTTAACCAAGGTTAGAATACTTCTGATGGTTTTCGCACAGGGCCTGGCACCAGCTGGCACGGGGCAAGCTGGATATCGTTTTTGGGACAAAAAGCAAAGGGGGTTTCGTTTTTGTGGGCGAAGATACACGCAAAATTGCAAAATTGGCGACGGCGACCTTTTTTTAGTCGACGTTTGGGTTTTTTTTAGGATTTTAGAGGGGATATCGTTGAAGATCAAAGGGGACTTCGTAAAAATTCCCAAAAGTTAAGGGGGACTTCGTTTTGAAAATTTCCCGGTCCAGCTCGTGCCGAATCCTGTTTTCGCAGAACTCGGCCGCGAGTGCACCATCTGCGATGCCGCTTAATTAGCGTCTAACAAGGGAAGTTCACTTAATCGAAGTGGCGACTCGGAAGGAGATCTTTACCAATGGATAGAGCGTAAAACGCTGATCTCATATCTTCTACATCTGCGACGCATTGTTCCGAAAAAAGTATGAGCTTTTCTAAAGCCAAATTTTCGTGCATTTTGAGTCGCAAAACCATGATAATCGCTACACAAAAGTGTGCAAGCTTAAGCAAACCACTTAGTAAGCATTGTAGGTCTAATTCGAGTTCATAAAAACGTTTTCGTGTGTTTTCCGACCATAGTGTTTATCACAGGTCGCCATTTCCTTCGTAGATCACACTTCCATCATATATACAAAAAAGCCCATGACCTCCATCTAGAAGAACGCGTCGAAGATATTGAAGATATATTTGAGAACATCGTTTTACGGGGTGGAGGACATTAGGTCGCCGAGTTTGGAAGAGTTCCGCGCGGATTCCCTGCAGGAACGCATGTCCGCGCATGTACAAGGGTGCGTATTTGTCGCAAATGACCGCGGGGACCGCCCATTTTCGGCGACCTAATGTCCCCCACCCCGTTTTACGTTCTATCAATTGGTGGTTTCCAAAAAGTTTCCGATGCGACGCGTTTTTCTGGATGGAGGTTATGGGGCTTTTTTGTTCACATAATGGAAGTGTGATCTAGGAATGAAATGATGACCTGTGGATGAACAACATGGTCGAAAAACACTCGAAAGCGTTCGGATGTACTCGACTTAGACCTACAATGCTTATTAGGTGGTTTGCTCAAGCTTGCACACTTTTGTGTAGCAATTGTCCTGATTTTGCGACTCAAAATGCACTAGAATTTGGTTTGAAATCAGCTTTTTGAGCTGTATCCATTGGTATAGATCTTCTTCCGAATCGCCACTTCGACCAGGTAAACTTCCCTTGTTAGTTGGGCCCCTAAATTCAGTTCCCAAGTGCGTGACCATGGTCCAGTTTTGCCTGGATTTGCCTTTGAAACTGATGGAAAGAGAAAAAACCAAGTTTATGATTACCCGTTTCGTCCCTTTTCTTGAACGGAATTCCAAATTCTAGGCACACTCTCCGGATTGTCCAGTAGGGAGAAGGCCTAGAATGTTTTTGTAATTTTTCTCAAACAGTAAGATTTGTGGAGTTCTTTGAGGAGTTGATTTTGAGTTATCAAGCAAAAACACATCATGCTTGAAAACAATGAGTGAGTGTGGGGGAGGGGGGTAGGGAAGCTACAGACGACCAGTATTGTAGGGCTGGTGGGCGCGGAGTTGGCAATCCTTTCGAAGATTTGTGTGTAGCTAACTCGACCCATAGCTTCAATTCTCCGTTAGTAAAATTTTAGCTATTTTCCGATAGAACTGCACAACTTTATCCCCTGTTTACTCTCAAAACGATATTTAGCTTGCTCATGTGTCACCTGTGTTGAACCTTGAACAGCAGTGGCGTACCCAGGATTTCGGCTCGGGGGGGGGGGGGGACAAAAAGTTTTTTTCCGATGAAGGTGCGTGGCGTCAGCCACGCACTCCGAAAAACTTTTTTATAAGGCTAAAATGAATTTTTAAAAAATTTTAAAAAATATTTCAATTATTTACAAGTACAAACAAGTCACTAGCGCATTTTTGTAACCAAGAGAGATGGTCTCCCCTGAGGCCCTTATGTGGGGTTCCGTCAGGTAAAATGACGACCACCCACTTCCCCATGATACAATAAGGCAACGTCACCTGACATGTGAACCTCAAGTCAGGTTCGGCAGGAAGATGGATGATCTCCCTGCCGAGTCATCGGAGATGATCCGAGCGATGAAATAGTGTGCTAATGAGGAGACTCAGAGTGAATTTCCGTAAGTTACCCTTGAGTAACTTACGCTGCGCGTCAATTTAACATGTCGAACATACTGAGTGAGGAGCCACAGTGCAGGCTGAATGATCTTCGAAGAGCGGCCACATCTCCGCCGCTAGTACCAAACACAATTAGTATGTGAGTGTTTGGTGAACGGGTTTTGACTTGTATACTTGCAAGAACATGGCATACTCAATCGTATCAATGAGGATGGTTGGAATCATCAATCAATGGCTCAAATGAGGCAGAGCTGACCGGTCGAAGCCTCAACTGAAGCTTTCCTCAGTTGAGATCGAATGAAGCAGCTTCACCACGGGCCCAGGTCATAAAACTCATAATAACGACCTTTAATTTTGGTGCAAGTTTCAGATTTTTGGCAACACTAAACAGAAAAATGAAAATTCCAGTAATATCTCGCTAAAGCTTCTATCTCTACAAAGTTGGCACTTCAGAAAAGTACTGTTATAGAGTTCATGATTTCCTCTTCTGAATGCTAGTTGTGCAATTCTTTCAAGAGAGCTGAAAATGATGCGAACGAATTTTGGGCCAACCTAATGTATAGGTAAGTCAAAACCATCGTGTAGATGTATGTCCCGGTGCATGTATGTAGATGTATGTCCATGTCACTGTTATTAGCTTACTTGTTGTTATGATTGCAGAATTTGCAGCACGATCTTATTCAGATAGCAGAAGCAAAGTCTGCTTGTTTGCGAGCATTTTGGTAACCTGCTTGCTATACTCTTCCTAATTCAGCCAAATTTCTAAGCTGACCCATAATAAAGATGTATATGCTTCTCTACACCTTTAGTTGTAAGTTGATATAAGCAGGGTTGAGCGTGGGGTCAGGCGCGCCCGACCTGGGGGGTCGTACTGGGATAAGACAGAGGGGGGGGGGTCGTGATTAGGAATCGAATTCGTTCGATTGAGGAGATACTACGATTAAGGTGAAGAAGAAAAGCGCTAGTTTAGTGGATATCGCGACCTCACCAGTACTGAAGGTGAACGGTCTTAAACAGCATACTGATTGATTTCACAATCGAAGTTTAGGCCAAAACTCAAATCTTCATCTTCTACCTTGACATATTATAAATTCATCAAGGAAGCTTGCTGTGTGAAATGGGTATCATTTCCGAACACGTCAAATTACCTCTATGAGCCCTACAAACCATAATTTACTGCATTATCTATTGTTTCTCAACGACTAAAAAGCGTGATTTTCAAACATGATTAACTTGTTTTCAAAAGTAAGAAAAGTCAATTTTTTTGTACTCGTAACAAAGTGTTGTTCCCCACTAGTCTAGGATAAAAATCACGCTTTGTATCGCTTGCAAATAGTGGAGTAAGAAATAATGCCAAAATTCCGACCGGCGCGTTTTTCGCCATGACTGCTTTAACTCCACGGATTACCACAAGGCCGAAACAAGTCGAATCAAGTCCAAACACTTACTGTGGAATCTTCGAGGGTTGTGCTAGCGATTCACATAAAACTTGAATAAAAAAGCTTCTTCAATGATAAAGTTAATCGGGTCAGGCGCAACCCCACAAAAGGTCAGGCCGCCTGAGCTTTTGAGGGGTTGCGCCTGACCCGATTAACTTGTTTTCAAAATCTAAAAATCGCTCCATTTCTGCTATGAGTATTGAACTCAAAGCCTCTTCTTGCAATACTGCAAATTTGGAGTCAAACAATACACCCCTGTGGGAATTATAGCTCTAAAAGTAGGGCTATCCAAAATCCAAAACTTGCCGTCAAGTTGCGTGTGCTGTGCAATCGCAGAAAGTCGACCTACAGACCTCCAAAAAACAAGAACCTCCCAAAAACGGCTGATCTCTTCGAATTATCACAGCCTGAGGTCCTGGAGGTGAAGCAGAGGGGTCGTTTAGGGGCTTTCACTGGGGGGGGGGTCGTTTTGGAAAGACTTGTGCCTGACCTCTTGCTCAACCCTGGATATAAGTAATGTTGGCCGCAGGATCAAACGTGCCTAGATGCAGCTGCACATTATCGATGACCAATCTTGCTAATATTTCCATAAACGGACCTATCTTGAGCTGATACTCAAAACCACATTTACATTAAAAAATCAGAAATCTGTTGTTTGTATGTATACGAAATAATCTAGGAAGGCAGTACAAAGGGTAATACTTTCTCGCGCTCCGTATTTATCATGAAGGTGAGCTGTAATTCTGTTTGACAATTTGGAACAATCATGCAACGCGAATTATTGGAGCCATCTAAGTTTGGTTGAACATTTATTTCTTCTTTTGATCACGAAACAACACTAGAGAGTTGTTGTTGTTTGGTGACATCTTTGGTGGACGAGTGAGTACGGGATTCACATGGCATCTTCTGACTTAGCCAATCTCGGTATGGTTTGATATAATAGAGAGATAATAGCGGACTCAGGATAGGAGCAAGACCCACAGTATTGTACATAAACTGTAACAGCGGAAAATTGGGTGATACAGCATTTCCAACCATCCAAGAAATCATCCCTGTAGCTAGGAAAAGTGGCAAGCATGATTGATAGGTGATTGCCTGAAGGGCATTTTATTATTAGATTTTGAGTGAGGTTCGTTTAGACCTGCCTTTAGTAATTGCGATTGCATACGCCTGGTTTTTTCAGACATGACGTCGCTCTTCAATCTCGCTATTGTTTTCCATCTCAGTACTTGAATGATAGCATAGGCAGGAAAAACCATAACATACATATGCACGGCAACCAATAAAATCTTCCACTCGTAAAAGTCCAAGTTAGCTGCCACGCACTCGCTTGCTTCTTCAAAGTTGATTGTTTGTCTTAGTCTCTCCTCAGCGTAGCTTCCCACATCCATCGTAAGGAACATCAGCAGCTAAGAAAATGGTATGATCTTTCAGAAACTCACGGAGTTTGCGATTATTTTCTTTAGGTGGATCGTTACTCAATCTTCGGTCTTCAATTGAGCCCCGAGGGTCGCAAACGTCGAGCTAAAGTTCGTTTAGGCAAAAGAAAACGATGGAGGTATCGTATCTTTGATTCAACTGGTTTAGCTCCGTCAGGGCAGGCCGCTTGCGCCCGCGATGCACCTGCGTCTCTCGCGCGCGAGTGCTCTCTGATCATTACCTGGCCTTAATTAGGTCACGAAGCCCGCCTTTGCCGAAGCTCAGCCAGTTGAATCAATTGTAAATACACGTTCAGACGCATTGACTGCCTCATAAACTGGGGTCCTGTGGCGAACAAGCATGTACACGAGTGAGCTCAAACATAATCTTGCTCACGGGAGGCGTGAGTGGCACCCAGGCAGCCGAATGCTGATGCAACCGGCCACCGAAGCTGGCGCTAGCGCCGCCCGCGGATGGTACAGGCGATTCCATTGCGTATGGGCGTGGCCCTGCAGATATTTTAACGCAAAAAACTTGTTAAACCTCCATTTTGAAGCATTAGTTTTTGTGCTTTCTCGGTATCCAAAACTTCCATGCGGATACGTTGGCAAACATCGGCAAAGCTTCGCCCGCTATACTGTGGGGAATATACGATGTAGTAATTACGTAGTCGCCTGAAACGTCCTGCGGAGAGAATTTTACAGCGCCTCGCCCCTCATCGGGCTGAGGTGCGAACAAAGACCCAGAATTAGCACAATATTCTCTACACCTTTCAAATCCTCAATACCCATAGTGGAGATGCCAGGCTGCTGTGAAATTATCTCCGCAGAAAGTTTAAACGACCAGCGTAATACTATACCACTGACGTCAGCTCTGCCTGCGGCAGCAGTCGGCTGGTATCACTTTCTACGCGCCCTCAGGCGCTTTTTCTGAACCGAGTTGTTAAGCACAATGTAACAAACAACTTTGCTGTTAACAACACACAAATAAGGACGTGACACCAGATTTGGTATATAAACGAGTAAGGGCTAGAAGGAAGTAATATCGGAACAAGGTTTTTACAAACTTCTCACTATTGGGAATAGAAATATGACTCCTTTGCAACTATGTCACGATATGGCTCTAACTTGGTTATATACTAGAAAAGTGGAAATGAGAACAAAGCATGGAATTGTACGAGAAACATGTATTAATAAAGAGAGTGATGAAAACTGCTACCCTAAAGCCTTGGACAGACTTCACGCGATTTGATCGTCGCGTAAATCGCGACGATACATCTGTTGCAACAGTCCATGCCGATCAACTTGCATTTCGGTTGTGATACTCTTCCAGCCCGAAATTTTTGAATGTGAAGTGAAAATGAATGGAAATGTCGGCGATTGAGTCGCGACATCGCGTCGATCAAATCGCGTGAAGTCTGTCCGGAGCCTAATGCCACCTTGAAGGTGACAAAACTTTTGATACACTCAAAAGTCACTTTTACCCAAAGTTTACTATGTAGTGGTAATATGGGTTTGGAACTCCTGTTTTCTTTATTATGATGAATACGACGACATCATCATGAGAAAGAAAACGCTTTCCAATTAAAACCCATGCATCTGGCGCGATTAAGTATTACCTACCTAGATACTTAGACGACACGTGACATCCGGGCCCCAGTACAGAAGTTTCCATTGTCTTTTCCTGTCCCTCGCTTCATATCCACGATCTTCTTGGCCGTCGTCGGTGGCTGCGTCCACGAGTTTCAAAAGCGAAAATCGTATCGAGCTGATTTCTCAGCTGGTCCATCCGTTCCACGAACATGTCTGCCCATCTCGTTGGTGGTCTTTCTCGGGGACGTTTGGCGCTTCGCTAGGAATTCATTCAGATGTTCTTAGTTTCCATCTGTCGTCGGTACTTCTCATGAAGTGATCGGCCCATCGGGTCGCTTTCGCAACATATTCCGTCGGGCCAGAAGACGGGACATTCTTCTCATATCCGTACTCCGAAGTCCGACAAATTGATTGTGTCTTCTCATCTTCGGAACACTGCGCTCAAGCGCTCTGTGGGTGATCCGCAAAGCTTCGACGTGGCTAGTGTCGGCCAATGTCTCAACTGCGTAACAGAGCACCAGAAGAACGGTTGAGTCGAACAGGTGGGCACGAAGCGCCGGGTCCGTCAGTTGGTCGGTGGCTTCCTTCAAAGGCCCGAAGGCGGCCCAGGCTGCTTTTCTTCTCCTGTTAAATTCTTCCCTCAAGTCGATTGTCTGATTCTCCATGTTCATCGAACTCCGAGATACAATAAGAAAACGTCTCTATAATAGGAGTGCCTTCCAATTCCTTTTCTGCATCTTCGCAAAGGGCGTTCCTCATACACTGAGTCTTCTTCCGATTTATTCGCAGTCCTATCTTCTTCCTTCCCTACTTTGTTTAGTTTCTTTAGCATCGTCTGTGCTTTCGTGATACTGCTCGAGAAGAAAACGATATCGTCCGCAAAACGAAGGTTCGACAGGAATCTCGCATCAACTCGTATGCGTTTCTCGTCCCCAGTGACTTCATCAACCACTGCAAGGCCTTGGTGAACAGCTTCGTCGAGATTGTGTCGCTTTGTCGGAACCCTTCCCAATTGGGATGATCAGGGGGCGATGGAATAGCTGCATCGTCGTTGTCGTCGTTATACAGTCCTTATAATAGTCGGCTAATGTCCTCACGTAAGCTGTGTCCACTTCTTGATCGACTAAAGCAGGCAGGATGGCGTTGGTTTCGACGCTGTCAATGGTTTTCTCGTAGTCGACGAAGGTTAGGACGAGAAACAGTCGGTACTCCCGGCAGACTTCTATGACTCTCGAAACTGTCTGGATGTGGTCCATGCAACTGAATCCCTTGGAAAATCGAGAATGTTCTTGGGGTTGGGCTTCATCCAGTGCCCTAGATATGCGAGCTAGGATAATCTTCGCGAAAAATTTGTACAGCACACTCAGCAGGCATATTGGACGGTAGTTTCGAAGATCCTCCCTTACTCTAAGAGAAGGACGGTTCATGACGCTCTCCGCTGGTCGGGAATCCTCTCCTTCTGAAGGTGTGTCAGATGCGACGCGAGAATCTCGTGTAGACGTTGTTCTCCGGCTCGCAGAAATTCAACGGAAAGATGGACTGGAGCCGTGGATGTCTTCATGGGCTGCATCGCCGTGCGCACTTCAGCTGGTAGAATTCGTGGTGGTACTTCTCCAGTGGGAACAACGGACATCGGCACTTTCTCGATAGATTCCATTTTGTATCGGGAAGAAGTTGGCAGGCATCCGGTCGAAATCGGAAACGTCGAACTCCTTCACAGCTTGGGAGGCTCTGCCAGAGTATGCACTCGGCTGTGCATCGCAGTTCGACACCCAGTGTCATCCCCACGCCACGATGAGGTGGCCGACCATTGTGGGGGCGATCAAGTGTTACATCATATATTTCGAGAATGGTAAGGGCGAAATCGTATTTCGGGGGCCAATTTTCCACTCTCGTGCTGAGCCATGGTCCGTTTGATGTCCTCAAAGGCAGCGTCCATCCAAAGGCATTTCTCATTTTTTCACTCCTCCCATCCGAACATACTTCGACGCGTTTTGACGTGGCGGAATGCTGGTCCACTCTTGTCATAATAGAGTTTCAGGAGAAGGATTTTTAGGGTTTATGTAAATTGCACCTTATACCAGAAAGGACATGGAAAGGTCTATGTTTGCTAAAATATGAAAAAGATACGAGTGAAAGCTGCCTTTGAGGGCAGCATTGTCACTTTGACTTAGGAGACATGAGCCTTGGCAGTAGGACCTCTATCAAATCAATACTCAAGTCGCGACGCAAAATGTGGCTTCGAAAGTGAATCACGCCGGAACACGATAAGGGTATAGGGGTCTCAGGCGGCGCGCCCTTCCAAGTAATGCCCGCCCATCTGTACTCGCCGTTCCGGGAAACCGCCGCGGGGTTCACAGGAACGGAGATTGTTGGGGTTTTCGCAGGCTCTCGACTATATATTTAGAATCAGGAACAGAGAAGGCCTGGAAACGACAAAACGTAGAAGTGGAAAATCTGGGTAGACGGTGCCTTTGAGGTCTTGTGGATATCACAGTAGACCAAATTTATATAAAATCTTTTTTTGTAACAACAAAACCTGATAATGCCGATATAGCCGCCTCTTAGTTGGCGGAAAACCATTTGCTTACATCAAGGTCAAATGACAATTCTACCAGACATCTTCTGACTTAGGAAGACGTATGTGCCTCATCCTGACTAATACAGGGTGGCCGGAGGGCGTTACAACATGTAATATATCCTTTTCCTGGAATATTCTATCATAGCGGCTTATATGCCTGTAGCTTAAGGACAGTCTCTATATTAAGATAATGAAAATCACGCGAAGTGAAGTCTTCTAATGCAAGTGAGACTCCAGAATCCACTTTCTCTTGAAGGGCGCTGCGGCGCGTTCAGTCAACACCATATTTATAGTGCCGTATTTTATTTTAAAGAGGTGGATTTTTGCTGTTATGGCACTATGTTATTCCTCGGACCGTGCTGTACAAAACCTCAGGTCTTGGAATTTATTCATCTAGTGATCGGATTATTTCAACAATTCGCAGTGAGTACATTCTTCAAGGAGCATTTTTGACGCATCAACTTCAAGATAAGCTACTGAAATCTGTTTGCATGTGCAGGAACCCAGTCTTGCAGGATTAACACATTAAGATGCCTGTGTTTTTGGCATGCAAAAATAATCTTACAAAATTTTCTTTGCGATGAAAAATCATCGCGAAGCATGTGACGCCCATACTTTTCGGCCACCCTGTAGATTACGGAATTCATAGTCACATTCTAGGCAAAAGCAAGATGGACTATTCGTTATTTTTTCTCGCTTACTTTCCAATTACTCAGATGTTAGTTGCATTTAAGTTTGTCCAATAGTTTGACTTCCTCTCATAGTTTCTTCAAGCAGTCATCTGCTTTCTCCTTCTTACACTATGCCCATGGTCAGT